AATCCAAACCCTTTTCTCTACCATTTCGAAAGCTTAAACGGGCAAGGCACCTCTACTCCAAGCTTCTTAAAACTCCAACTACGGCTCCCAGGAAAATTCTCCATGTTCGAACTCGTATCAAATCTCTCACTCGTACAATCAATAAGAAAATGGTAAGTGACGAATTCCGAATCCTCTCAGCCCCACACTGTCGTGCTGCCCGCGCCCTCATCAAAAGTAGAATTAGATCTTCACCTAAAGTCCCACCTCTTTCTGCTAATGGCTGTCTTATAACCTCTGAACACGAAAAATCCACCCTTTTCACCAAAACATTCTCTTCTAATTATAATCATCTCACTTCATCCGCATCCATCACTCCCGCAATAAGTCATCAGCACCTTCCTTTTTCTGTTGTGGCTATTCTCCCCATTCGGCCAATTACTTTATCATTAAAAAATGCGCCACCACTCTAGCATTACCTTTATCGATTATCTTCTCTGACTCACTCTCCACGTCACATGTACCCGACTCTTGGAAACACGCAGTAGTCGTTCCCATACCAAAAAAGGGTTCTCCTTCATCGCCCGAAAACTATCGCCCCATTTCGCTTACTGACCCTTTCGCTCGAATTTTCGAACGATTGGTATGTGATCGCATCAAATGGGAATTCCTCCATCAATTCAGTAGTCTTCAACATGGTTTTCTTTCCTACAGATCCTGCACCACCTCTCTAGTTCAATCTGTTTCGAATTATAAAGCTACCTTTTGAAATACAATACACTAGACGTCGTCTTTTTCGATTTCCGCAAAGCCATCGACCAGGTACATCATCAACTTCTCATCCAGAAACTTGCTAGCTTTGGAGTCCCTAAATCTTACGTAGCTTGGTTCTCCTCGTTTCTCTCTGGTCGAACGTTCTCTGTCAAAATCTATGATTTTATTGGACCCCCTTCCTCTGTCATTCCCTCTGGTGTTCCTCAAGGATCAGTATCCGGTCCCTTACTATTTCTCATATTCATCAATGATCTGCTCTTAGAACTTGAACAAATTCCCTCTCTTCACCTTGCCGCCTTTGCTGATGATATCAAATTGTATTCTCATGACCCAATCGCCCTTCAAACTGGTATCAACATGGTTGTAAATTGGGCTACCGCCAACCATCTCCCTCTTGCCCACTCTAAAACTGCCCTTCTTCGCCTAGGTTCCCATAATTCTTCCCATCCTCTCAATATTGCGGGTGTCACACTTACTCCCTCCTCCTCCGTCCGGGACTTGGGACTCATTACTGATTCCTCTCTCAAATTCTCTGCTCACATCAACAAAATCACATCTCTAGCTCTTCTCCGTTCCAAACAACTCTTAAAGTCATTTAGATCTAAGTCTCCAGAATTCTACATTCATCTTTTCAAATGTTATGTTCTCCCGATTCTTGAATATTGTTCTGTAGTTTATTCCCCTCCGCCTTCTTCTCGCCTTGCTCTAAAACTAGAATCTCCCTTAAGATTTTTCTCTAAGTGTATTTTCCAGCGTTGTAATATCCAGTACAGTTCCTATTCTGATCGTCTCTCTATCCTCAATATGTTCTCCATTCGACATCGTAGGCTAAAAGCTCAACTAATTCTTCTCTATAAATTTTTAAATGGCTCTGCCTACTTTCCTAACCTTAATGCACATGTCAAATACTCCTCCTCCCCTCGTCGCCCTATGAACTTAATATTGTTCAGCCCTACTCCTCTGACTATTTTTCTTCAATTGTTCCCCTGTGGAACGCCATCACTTCCCAAGTTACCCGATTTCTCCTACCTTCCGAGTTTGAATCCTTAATTTCTTCCAGTATTACCCGCTATTGATTTATTTGCTCCCCTACTCAGATCGGCCTCGTGAGGGGCATTTTTTCTGAGTCTTTCATGTCCTGCCCTCTATTGTTTCATTACACCTGGTCAATAAATAAATAAAATTAAATTAAACATGCAGGATTTGGCGTTAGTATGTAATGATAATGATAATGATTATGTGATTTTCAAGTGGTAATATGTATTACTTTGCCCGCTTTTTCTTTGTCTAGGGCCAACCTGAAAGAAATTGAAAAACATGATTTTATAGCTATGAACATTCATTATGATAAATTTTATTGTGCAGAACATTCAATTTGTGGCTCTATATTTCCGAATTTCGAAGTTGCGGTTTTATCGACAACAAGAATATTAAAAAATATAAAAAGTTAAAAATCGATTAACTTCTTCTCACATCCTTTCTGCTTATTTCTCACCTAACAAAAAATCATTAACTTCTTCTCACATCCAGTTGTTTTGTTATCGCGATACTTGCCACACTTGATTTTGCCGTTATTGTTACCTGAAAAAACTTTTTGTTCAAATTTTCAATAATTCAACAAACCGCTTTTGCCGGTTTTTCATATTCCAATAATTCTCTGACAGCATTTCTGTATTGCTTCGAAATTCCAATACAAATTATAAAATGAGTCGTAGCATTCAAAGTGACGAAAATCAATAAAATGCTGATGATATCATTTATGATTGATCTGTAAATTTTTAGCAGGGTTTTTTTTTAATTCTGATGACTTACAGTAATCCAAAGTGGTTCGTGGCAAGACCTTGAATAAAAACCGCGACTCCAGTGGGACCTTCTGCTACGATAGATGCTATTGTCATACAAATCACTAGTTTTGAAGTGTGGTCCTTGTTCCGTGTAGCTCTGGCTACTGAAATTTTTCTTCTAGAATCTTCTGCTAGTTTCAACTCCCGCAAAAGCAGAATTGCTAATATTGGTAATGCAATTGCGGGGACAATCTGAAAAAGCTGATTTTGTTATTTTCTTATTTAAGAACCTGGAAACCTTCAAAATCCCATCAAACATGACCATAATCTCAAAAAGCCACGTGGCACTGAAAACGTTGTCGCTTTTAACAAAAGTGAATTCTGGGATACTGTAGTTTGGGGGATAAAAATTGATTTAAGTGAAAATTGAGGTTTTGATAAAAAGTCGAAATTTGGATTCAACGCATTTTTCATGATTAAAAAGCGTACTGAGGCCATAAGAAGACCTAGATACGTTGATAGTCTTCGAAAATCGTCTTTAAAGAAAGCCAGATAAAAATTGAATTGTTGGATTACAGGGTTTGCAGGTGAAATGCTGAAAATGATAACTTTCCGTGATCCAACTTTGGAATTTTTGAAAATCGGAATTTTGGATCATTAGACATTTTAAAACTATTCCAAATATTCGATTCAATAAAAAATTGGAGTTTCGAAATTTCGGAAAATCGCATACCACTCCAACGAAATTCCTTGCTGTAGGGAAACCAATAAATGCTGATAAGTGAGAATGATCATCACAAAAAAATCACTAATTGCAATTACAATCAATAATATATTCACACCAATGGTTCTCATCGATTTTTGAAATAAAACCAATAAATGGAATACGTTTACTGTAGCTCCGATGAAAGAAAAAATGAAAGTGAGCTTGAAGAAAATCTGAGCAATCATTTCAATAGTGCTTCCCATTTTTACAAGGAATTGTTGGGTTGAGGACTCATTGAATTCTTTAAAATCGGAAATGGAATAGTTTTGGGACATTTAGAGACACAATGAGGAATGTCTTTTTTGTATTGGGAAGTTTTTATGGCTAGACAAGCCTTAATAAAGCGTTCCGATTAATATTACCACCTGGAAACCAGGAAATATGAATAACAAGCATGGAAACACAAAGATCAGATTGCCGATATATGATTTATTAGAAAAAATGAGGGAAAAAGGAAATTGAATTAATATTGAAAAAAAAAATTAATAATGGGCAAATAATTTGGAGGGTACAAAATTTTTGGGGTCATTGGGGTACAAAGCCATTAGGGGGGGGGGGGGGTACAAAATGCTTGAAAAATTCCAACTTTGTACCCCCGGTTCGTGGATTTCGTACCCCTAAATCACTTTGTACCCGAATTTTGTACTCCCGAATTGTTGTACCCTCCGTATCAGCGTTGAGCGGAATTCCGTCTTCCGTCAGGGAAAATTTTGTTCCGCCTTCCGTCTTCCGTCTTCCGTAAAGCCCGGAAAAAATCCCGAATAACGGAAAACTAGAATTTTATAGGATTTGTTGAATTTTGAGTCAATTTTCTTTTGACGGATCCGTCTCACTGCGAAACCGATGCCAAAATTCGAATCTAAAGTATTTTCTAATTCAAAATTTAAAATTTCAATTCTTCGATTTTCCGTCTTCCGTGGAATCTCTTATTCCGTCTTCCGGCTTCCGTCTTCCGTCCGGAAAAATTTCTTCCGTCTTCCGTGTCCTGTCTTCCGTCAAAAAGTTTTGTTCTGTGTCTGTCTTCCGTCTTCCGTCAAGCAAAATTGTATTTCCGCTCAACACTGCTCCGTACTATGTGCCATGACTGTTTTATGATTTTTCAAAAAAAAATTAAAAAATATGAATAACACTGTAGCCACGATGTGCATTTTTAAAAAATGCAATTGTCTACCTGTTAGCTGTCAAGAGACGTAATTATCTTATTTGGCCGAACCAAGATTCCTATATATAATTTTCTTTTTTGGTTTTCCTGTTCATTCATCTCCAAAACTTGAAAAAATTTATTTTTTTACCATCCAAATTATTATTCCAAATTCTCAGAAATGAACAAATCATTGAATGAAAAACTGATCGATTTTATCAACGGCATTGCTGAAAATGTATTCATAGTTCAATTCGTGATTTCTACAATTGGATTAGTTATGACCATCCCACATCCTACTTCATAATTCTATGAGGACATCTTCTACTAATTCTACAATGATTGGAATTGAAATATGTGATTTGATAGTTTTGTCTGAAAACGTTTACGAAAGAGTTCAAGGATACTGGTTCTATGGGTCTCACAACTTGTGCATCAATAAGTATAATTATTGGAACATGTACCCATTATTTATTGGAGATTTTCTTCAAGCTGTTTTCGAAAAATCATCTTTCGGGCTTGGAGTATTCTTAGCGTTTACAAGATTACTTATCATGAAAGCCGGTGGAACGACGTTGAAAATCTCTAAACCACTGTTCGGCTACTTTCTCATACTGGTCAGTTTGAGCTCTGTTCATAATTTATATTATTATCGTGGATACAGTATCATCCAAATCGGTATTTGGGAACCGGAAGATACGTAAGTGGTTAAACTTGAAGATAACTACTGTAGTGTTTCTACACACTTAATTTGAATTTTTAATTTTTTTTTCTAATTCCAGATGCACTAGATATCAGCTTCTTCCTGAAATCCTTTTGTTTAATAATAATCTCCACTCCCTAATAAGAAGAATTCCAAATTTTCGTTCAAAAATATTCCCTTATACCCGAGTTACAGCTCATTTTGTGCTCCTCATTTTCCTTCATTTTCTCCCCGAGTGGGCGGGGCGTCGCCGACGCAAGGCTGCCGCGCGGAAAAATAGCGATATATTTCTCGAGCCATTTTCTGCGGAAATTTCGATTTCAGACGGGTAAACACAGAGAAAAAAGTATCGAAAAGTGTAGAAAAAGGGTTTGTTGATATTTTTATTGTGATAGCTAACCTAATTTTAAGAATTTTCACCAGAAACTGGTTCGAAATCGGAAAAAATAATTTTAAAAATAGAAACACTCCAAAGTTACTGAGAGAAAGTGCTGCAAAAAAAAATTCGAGAGAGAAAATCGTCATAGATGTATCGTGAAAGTCCCACTGTGCTGCAGTAAACCTTATAAAAAACTTTCAAAAAGATTTCCAAAAGCGGGATCGAACCCGCATGTTTCCTTGCCAGCATACCACTCTCATAACCAGTACACCACACAGGTGATTCGCGACTTGTCTATCACGAAGCTTTATCCATACCGCATTTGATTTCAGACCAATCGCGAAAACACAGAGTTCATAATAGACCTATCGCGAACGCCTTCGCGATAGGTCCTATAATAGACCTATAATAGACCTATCGCGAAAACCGCCTGCCGGTGTGTTTTTTATTTCTTTAAATTCTTTCTGGTTCTATTTTATATTTTTCTGATTTTTATTGAAATTTTTAAGTGTATTATTTTATGGTGAGTGAGTTAACTACTTTTTTATTGCTGGAAAATGCAAATTTCTATTCAATTTTCATCGAGAAAATTGAATATCGATAACTAGTACAGTAAGATGTAGCTCTAGTGGTGAAACTATAAAGATAATGTGTGAAGGATAAACTTTATCAGATTAAATCATGCCTCGTACGACACATAAGGAAGTTCGACCATTTCATGGAATGGGAAGCAATGATACAAGTAAGATTAATTGTTGTCCATCATCATTGCATCATTGTACAACAAACTTTCAGGCAGTCAGGAAAGAAGGGTTGGTGAAGATGATGTTCCGTATGCAGTCAAAGAGATGGCAACACTCGAAGATACTTCCAATGTAGATTTTGAAATGGAATTAGAAGATATGGATAAGGATGAGGACACGGATGAGGATGACGGGGGGCAGACAGGTATTATGCTAGAACTTAGAGATTCACTGTCCTGGTTTAGATTTGAACAGAATGATAGAAGAAGTTTCGACGCCCGTATTGTTGTTCGTAACATCTAATTGTATCAGTAGATTGTCGAATAGAGGTAAATGATAGGAAACTTATGAAAACAAGTAGTTTTTTTTCGCATTCAGAATTCGAACGACTTTTAACTAGTCAAGAGGATACTTTTGCGGAAGAGGCGCGGAAATTATGGTATCATTACAAAAGTAATTTTTCATGCCACAACTACTGTAACGCATGTGGTGAGGGTGGTGTGGTGGTGTGGTGACTTTTGTCTTCACACGAGAAATGGTAACGGATATGTATAAGTGACTGAGCATTTCTCCCTTTTACAGTAATAAATGCGTCGACAGTGCTACTGCAACGTTCGTCCGTATTGGTAGCAGATCCCAATTAAAAGAATTGGTGGAACTACATATTGATAAGATCATGGAAATCAGGAAACAACTGAAAGAAGGGAAAAATATCGTTCATAATTTGAATAGCCCCTTTTTCTCTAAATATTGGAAAGCAGAACTTCAGAATCACTTGAATCTTTCCACTGTTATTTCAATTGATGGAATTCAGATTTCGGGTAACAAAAAGTAGTAATTTTTCACTTAACCTCGGATCAATAATGCAGTTCAGGAAATTATGGCCTGTTAGCCTTGTTTTGGTGGATTTGCCGTCTAGCGAGATGCAGAAATCGTGCAACCTGATTCTAGAAGGAGCAGTCGAATGTAGTGAAAATCCATCAACTTTACTGTGGAATGCTATATTTGGAAAGATCCGTTCTGATGTAGAAGCTCACACTGGCAGAGTTGGAAACATTACTTACGATTGCAAAATCACTACGTGTTGTGCAGATCAGCCGGTGCACTAATATCTCCTAGTTTATCAATCATCAGTTTTTTAGGCGAAAAGATCTTTCTTTGGTATGAAAGGACATTCATCTAGTATGTCTTGTTTCTACTGTCTGAGCGAAGAAACACTGTACAAGCGGGGTGGTGTAAGCCGAAAAGAACAACGATACGGAAATCTGACTGTGTTGGATTCCAAAAACGGAGAAATGGATTCTCATCGAAAAGTTCTAAAGTTGTAGAGGTCATTGCACCTTACAATACTCCGATTGACATTTTGCACAATACCGGAGAAGGACTTTTTGATCGTATTCGGAAAGGTATACACTAATAATATTCCAGTATAGTACTGTAGCGATACCTCTATTTCCAGAAATCTTTCCTCCAGATACAAAATTTATCCGAAAGTCAGACTTATTCGTCATTGATCCCAGCTCATTCGCGCGTGATATTCGTATACTTGCATTCCAATTACGAGAACATTGAAAACCTTCGCAACGGCTCAGATAAAACTCATGTAGGAGACTGCAAAATTACAGTACAGAATTTTCGTTTTCAGCACCTCCGTCTCACGCTTGCTCTGACAGCCCTAGTATCAGATTCAATGAAACCAAAGGCTAGACTAGTTCTAATAGCCTTAGGATTTCTGACAAATAAGATGTACAGTAATACGCAAGCTCCAACATTGTTCGATATTCAGCTGTCGGCCGCTGCAGCTTGGTATTTGGCGGAAGCTAATAAGGAGTATATCACAATGAAAACCCACGTAAGCAGATAGTGGTATTTATGAAGTATTAAGTTGCATTCAGGAACTTTTGTATCATCTAGCAGATGTGAACAAACTTTTTGGAAACACCGGG